ACAGTCATACAAATGCGACCATTGATCAGATGGATGTGGATTAGCAGATCACGAAAAGCTTAGCAGTGGAGTCAGTTAGGAGTAGCATTAGCGGTGCGGCATACAACTAAACCCTGGTACTATCTCTTTCTTAAACTTATCAATTATCAATTATATATACGAAATGATTACGTTTTACATAGTAACGAAAATGGGAGTACAGAAAAAAGATGCCTGATAAGCAAGCAACTATAATTTGGTGTGCTGGATAAAAAAACGTCCACACATCGCTTAGAGAAAATAGATCCATAGATCCACTTGTTCGTTTGATAAAGCCCTGTCCTGTATTAAACAACTGACAGATATAATTGCCATTATATATAGATAAATACATCCGTCCGCTACCTACAGGGATGAGTAGCCGCAGCAGTGTTGCCTCTTTGGTTTTGCACCCGGTTGCTTGCTGCTGAGTTTCTGCCAAATGATTGCACTTTGTTAACACTTTTTCCCAGAGGCAGGAAATTCACTTTACCTTTTAATAAAATGTAAAGGTTACACTGCAGTTCGGGGGTTTGTTACAGCATATTTACAACTTTGTATGTGTAGGACTGAAGGCGCGAGCACATAATCGTTTAAAGCCCGAATCAGTGATGAATAAACTAGCGCTCAATCAAGGCAGCCAATGGGAGCTGGCAATATGTCCATCACGTGCAGTACTTGTGTGTAATGCACTGTCATCTGCAAAAGGCGGTGCAGGCAAAGCGTTTCAGCTAATTTAAATTTCGCGTCCTTTTCTTTTTTCTTGTCAACTATTTTATTTTGCATTCGCTCTCTTCTACTACCTTTTTTCCATCTAATTGCACTTCCAATGTCAGCATACAGCGCGCATGGCGCAAACAGCAATAGGTTGCGACACCACACAGGCGGCAACGGCGGCTATCCAAACACACCCAACCCATTCCAGCAGTATGAGCAGGAGAACGACCCCAACGGCAAGGACTCGCGGCTGAAGAACAAGATAATAATGCTTAAGGAGGTGAGCATAAGTATTGGCGACGAGATACGCGACCAAAACCAGTTTTTGACAACTGTGGGCGACGACATGGAGAGCATGGGCGGGCGGCTCAAGGCCACGATGAGGCACTTCAACGACATGTTGGCGCGGCAAGGGTGCGGGCCATTTTTCTACCTGACAATATTTGCCATTGCCGTGTTTGTCTTCTTGTACATGTATTTGAAAGCGCGGTAGAAATATACACACATTTTAAAAATGAACAAATATGTGTATTTGATGATTAATCGAGGATATTTTGAAAGGGGAAAAAGCTGATGCTGAAAATTATTGAAATGACGCTCAGTTGGCAGCCTCAGCCTTGGCGGTATGCTTTGACATAAACTCAAAGAAGGCAAACTGGCTCGGGTCGGTGCCGTACTCGTAAACAAAGTGCGACGCGAGGTAGGCACCAAAGATAGCCTTGAGGTAGTTCAGGGGGACGCGCTCGAGGACGGTGTCAAGCCCAAGCTCCTTGAGCAGACGGGCCGGCAGGGCCTCGTGCATGATGAGGCGGCGAAGGGCAATGTTGTTCCACAGGTCAGTGCTCTCAAGGCTCTTGCGGAGCTCGACAATGGCAACAGACAGCTCATCTGAGAGTATGCTCTTGGGCTTACCCGTGCGCTTGGACTCGTTCCAGAGGCACTCAAACTCGCGTGCGGCGTTGGCCTCGATAAACTTTTGCACATCCGAAACATACTCCTGGTAGAAGGAGGGCAGAGTGCCATCGGCCTGCTTGCACATCAGGCGGCCGAACTCGGCGTCCGTGAAGGACAGCGCGGCGAGGACTTCGAGCGACGACGAAGTGACACCGCCCTTGTTGGCTGAGGCGTCCTTGAACAGGTGCACGCCGGCCTTCTCCAGGCGCAGGCGCGCATCCTGCGTGAAGAAGAGGTTGGCGCCCTCGACGACGTACTTGAAGCGAGGAGTGCCCTCGGCATCAAACAGCAAGCCGATGTTGTTAATATCGATGGACTCGGGACGGCCACCGCAGGGGACAAAGAAGTCGGCGGCAGCCAGCTTGTTAAGGTGGAAAACGTTGCGGAACGACAGGCCATCCTGGACAAGCGTGCCGTTGGGCAAAGTCACCTGGAAGTCGTCAACCAGCACGCGGAAACCCTCGGGGCTGAGTTTGGAGGTGTCAAAGTGCTGGATCATCTGGCGCGCCAGAGCCAGGCGCGTGAGCTCCTCGCGGTTAATGCCGTGGGGATCGTAGAGCACACCGCTGCCGTCGACAACGGCAGTGGTGCGGTCGTTGCTGATCTTGATCTCGTTGGAGCCCAGGTCGCCGTCGGGGCCGCCGGTCTGCAGTTTGGTGCACGCAGACTCGTCGAGGTTCAACTGGCGAATGATGCCCAGGACGTACTGGTGCACGGAGCGCGTGGTCATGCCGTACGTGTCGTGGGGGATACCGCCCAGGGTCTGGCTCTTGCCTGTGGTGAAGGCCTTCCAGAATGGAGCGCCGCGCTTGCGAGCGTGCTGGCTAGCCCAGTCCATGTAGCCGGCAGTGCCCTCATCGGGGCCAAAGAACAGGATCTCGTCGCGGCCGAGGCGGTCGACCAGGCGGTTCTTGATGCCCGGCGACTGGCCAACCAGCAGAAGATCGAGCATGGCGTCGACGTACTTCTCAAAGGCAATAAACGCCTTGTCCTGGGACTCGATGCCAAGCAGGATCGTGCCCTTGGAGCCGCCCTCAGGGATGTCTTTGTTCTTGCGGTGCTGCGTCGACGCCAGCGAGTAGTTCTCGTCAAACAACGTGCGCTGGTTGATCGAAAACGCCTCGGCGTTGCGCGAGCGTACAATGCGGATTCCACCACGGGCGACATCCTGGAAGCGCACGTGGAAGCCGCGGAACTCGTTACCGATGACCAGGAACAGGCCGTAAGGCTTGACAGGGTACTCGATTGCCGGCAGGAAGCTTGGGTCCATGCGGAACGAGAGCGCAACCTTGGTCGGCTGGTAAAAGTTGGTCTTGAGCACATTCTCGTTGAAGTCGAGCAGCGCGCGCATCACCATTGCGTCGTGCTCGTTAGTCGTGACGCGTGCGATCTTGACGCGCAGGTCCTCGGTGCTCAGGGGCACGGTGTCCTGTAGCCGCTGAGCTGACAGTGACACGTGCAGATCGTTATTCAACTCGTTGACCAGGCGCTTGGCGCTGGTGGTGGGCGACGCGGTGTTAATATGGTGCACCTGCGCAAAGTGGGCGTACAGGTCCTTGAGCAGCTCGCGGTGGCGCAACAGGATGTCGAGTATCAGCTCACGTGTGAAAGTCTCCTGGCGCAGGCGCTTCTTGAGCTTGGCGAGCACCTCAACGGCGGTCGCGTCGGTCGGGTTGAGGATCTCAACGAGCGTTGCGTACTCGTTGCCCAGGCGGTTGAGGAAGTGCTGGGCAAAGATCCACACGGTGTAGCCATACACGGTCTCCTGCACGGACAGCTCGCCGGTTTTGAAAAGGTTCTGGAACGGTGTGTTGGGGATGCAGAACAGCAGACTGGCTTCCTTCTTGATCTGGTTGACGTTGTCCTCGATTGACGTCGGCGAGGTTGCGGGGCTGAGCACGGGCGATGGGCTACTGGTGTTGGTGCCCGAGCTGGGACCCGAGCTCGCAGCCAGGCGCTTGGCGTGGGAGGCCAGGTCGAGGTACAGGCTGATGACGGTCACTCCGTTGGAGAACTGCTCGACGTACTTGCGCGACGAGTACATGCTGTAGTAGTGGTACAGGTCAGACAGCGCCGAGAAGTAGCCCTGTGTGCTGCGCTGGCGGTAGCCGATGACAATGCGGTGTTCGCCGCTGGGCAGCTCGTCCGAGACGATGACCGGACCGGTGCGGGTGAGAACCTTAGAGACCACGCTGCCGTACAGATCGAGCACACTGGGCGTGGCCTTGGCCAAAAAGGTGCGGTCAGACACCTGGTTGATGTCGTTGACGGCGTCGCCCTGTGGGTCGGGGTTGACGAACTCGCAGGCGTTGACAAAGTACGTACGCAGCGACGCGTCGAGGCTCTTGGAGACCTTGCCACGCGAGCGGTATGACTCAACGCGGTATGCCTTCTCGGCCACGCTGATATCCAGGTACTCGGTGTCAATCCTACAAAAAAGATTGAGTAAATTTTATGATGGTGATCATGGTTAGTGATAAGCAAGAATACTGTGTGTATGTAGAGTGGTAGTTGGGATCGGACAAAATGGGGCGAGAGACACATACAGGCAACTGCCGCCACCATCGCTCCCCAAGCATTGAGGCCAGCCCTGAAGTGCTGCGGCGATGGGCAGAGAGATAACAAGATCAAATGCTAAATAAGAAAACTGCTACTGCATATGAGGCTGATAAACCGTCACTTGCGGATTATTAATGACAAAGCATGGTACTTGATGGCAGCCGATAAGCAAAATGTGATTATGCAGAAGCGTGAAATGCGAAATCTCTGACGCATCGTAGCCAATCGCTCAAATCAGCAAGTTGTTTTTTCTAAATCTTACTTCCCCCACGCAGCCGGAACAATGTAATAAATGTATCGCGTGCATGTTTTTATTGCCAACGGATATTATGCAATGAAAAATATTACTACTCAGGCATGGCGCACTACCGCATATTGTAGTATCGCGGTTGCGTGTCGCGCAGTTTGATCTGCAACGATAGCAACGATTTATAGTGTGCGTGTGCATTTGATCTTTGCGCTTTGCAAACCATGGCAAGCAAGGCAGATTGTGGGTAAAAAAAATAAAAGTACACGGCGGATGCAAGAAATAAATGAATATAGAAACTTACATCTTTTCGAAATTGTCGCCGTCAGTCTTGGAAATGCCGGGTGTCGAATTGTGAATGAACATGGCGCTGTTCTCGTGACGGGTAGCGAGGGAGACGCTGATCGATTTGCCCATCTTGTTGCTGGACAGCTCGGAGCCGTATATCGCCGTGATGTGCTCGGCGACGGTGCTAGGCTCCTCACGCATGAAGTACATATCATCGAGGCCCAGGACGTCGTAGAACCAGGCAACCTCGCCCTCAATGGCGTGGCTGGGAATCTCGCCCTCCTTCTCAAGGATGCCGCAAACCTGGACGCGGTGCTCTTGCTTGCCCGAGTACACGTTGTCGGTGTAGCCGCTGTGGTTAATGGCAGCCGAAAATTCAGAGGTGGTCATGGCTAGCTGTGATATGGGTATGTGTGATAGAAGTATAAAATTAAAAAACAAATGTGGTGGTAGTAATGGTTGTTTGCGTATAAACAAGGTATGCTTTGAAAAGTTGGAGGATGGGCCGGAGAGGTGCCTTTTTTATACAATTTACATATTTATTTGTCGTTCGCAGCAGCAATGGCAAAAGCAATGGCAACATCAGAAAACCCGCTCGCACACAGACAAGGCAAGATGTCGGCAAAGAAAAGTAAACAGGGGGAAGAGGGGCGGCGGCCTTGTGGTAACTGGCCTGTATGATGCCAGCCAGCGTTGCTGAGAATGAAAAATAAAAATAAATGTTTTACCACCACCTGGGAAGCAAACCCTGGCCTCAAGCAGTGCTGGCCAATAGTTCTGCTGCTGCTGGTGTGGCTCTGGCAGGTGAATTGAGAATTGTGAGTGGAAGTGCATTCAGAAATTCAAAAATAAAATAAGGGGGGTGGGTAGATCAACCCGCCAGAGAAGGGAGGGGGTATGTAGTCGGAGAAATTCTTTTTTTGGATGCAGCCTTTCAAACTAAATTAGCATTTGCCTAAGCAAAAACATCAACTGGCGCGGGGAAAAGCTGAATTTGTTTTGAGTTCCCTGAGAAAATAAAACATGCTAGCCGCCAATCTGCTGGTCTGTGCACAGAGCACCAAACAGAAGCAAATAGAATGCAGGATGCCTGGCCATTGTGGATCACTGCTCATTTGCTCTTGCCTTGTCGGTGTGCACTGTCAAACATGATATCTGCAGATCCACCCGCCACCTAGTCCGAAAAAGCAATCGCTGCGTTTGAGCAAAATGTCCTGCTCTTCCAGGAGGCAGCGGAAAACTGGTGGCCCTCAGTCCGCTCAGCGCAATTCGCAAATGTCTTCGTTCACCGAGCCAAAAAAATAGGCAATAAAAGTATACAGACGCAGCACAGGCAGCCTTTGTGTCGAGCGCAAACGCAGTAGAACAATGGGCTGAGTTGGTCAGTAGTTGCAATTCGCGAGCAGTGCTGAGTCGTTTTTTCGCTGCTGCTGTTGCTGTTGCTGGCTGTCACAACTAATCATTTTGCCACATGTTGGCGCGATGGGCGGAGAAAAGGTGGTCGGTGCGCTGCATTTTTCGCATCAATAAAGCAATTTAAAAGCGCGATTGCGGGCTTAATTTGGACATCTGCCGCCGAGAGCTGCACAAAGGGGTGTGCGGAAATGGGAGCGCTGGCAGCTGGCAGCTGGCCCATGCATTTTTCGCAATTCCATTGGGCACTCATACTTCCACGCACGTGCCATGGCCATTTGGAAGCGCTCTTTGCGTGCGAAAGTGGCGGTAAAAGTTTGTTGGGTCTTTGTTTTCATGTTGGCAGCATAGGCAGCAAGCGGCAAAGGTGAAATACAAGTTTTAATGTCTATGCAAATTCGCTGCTTGGATTGCCTCATTTAGGTGTGTAAAATTTGCACTATCTGCCTTTCTTTGCGCCTTCGTTCTTCTCGGCGCTCTGCCTCCCCAAAATGCCTTTCTGCGCGGAGAAAAGCAATCAAAAACAAGGAACTTGGTTTGTGGAAATTGCAATGGCCTGTGCTCACACGTTTGCGCTAAAATTTCCCAGTACATTATGCGCATTTCCTAGAAACAAGGAGAGGGAGGGGTTGGTGCATGTCCAAAAGAAGGTGTCACATTAATCTCTAGCCGTCAGCTGAGAATTGGCGCGCAACTCAGCAGCTGGCAGCGGCGCGCGCACGAGCCCCTTCTTTCCCACGGGTGGTCCAACGCAATTTCTTTTCAAGGATATTTGCGCCAATGCCGCTGCCAACCAAATGGCTTTATTCGTGTTTTTTGTAATTCCAAATACTCGACGTGGAAATTGTTTGCACCGCTTTACTGTCTGTCCTATTTGAGGAATATTAATAAAGCGCATTCCGTACATTTCTGGCGTCATTTTGTTTGACAATTTTGCAATAACAAATAATTATCACCAATGCAATGGCAAAGGCGTTTTATAATTTAACGAGTGCTACCACTATTGCATTTGGTCGTTCGTGCAATAAATAAACACAATGATTTAAAAAAGTATTCACACTATGTACAAGAAATAAAACAATATACAATACAATTGTTTTTATGTTGTTTCACCCTCTAATTTACACTTTCGCTGTCATCTAGACAGTAATTGAGAAATGCTGGTAGCAAATGCAACAGGTTGTTTAGAGCCACAGCGGCCTGGCAATAGCCTAGTGAAAATTCTTGCCTAAGGCTCTTGATTTTGCTCTTAGTGGTCATTGCAAACAATGCGCAGCTGGATCTTTTTTATAAAAAGGCTACTTCTAGCGCATCTGCAGCTCACGTAGAAACATCTTTCGACAAGAATATCAGACAAAGTTGCAAAGCAAGGGAAAAACACATACCCCATATTGGAAACCCAGCCCAGAGCAGGCTCACGTGCCGAGTTGCCGCATTGTGCTACTCCTCCCATTTTGTGCAAGTATGATCTTGGAGCATGGAGTGCACGAAGGCGGATTGCGCTTATGTTCGATCAAGACATGTGTCGCGATCAGATCAGTTGATTGACTGATCTGCTTGAGTCAGTTCAAAGAACCACCTCATTTTGCTGTGTTCGGCTGTGTCTCTGGAAAGCAGCTCTAAAAGAGACAATGTGAATGGAACACCAAGTTTGTATACTTTATTTAAAAAATCTGGTTCTGAAGCTATGCCAAATGCCAAGCCCGTAAAGCTACCACATCAGGCGGCGACGCAACCGGTTGAGTCTGATCAAGCGCTTCTTGTAGCCCATCTTCTCCCACTCCTTGTCAGCCTGGCGCTGGATAGCCTCCCTCCTCGACTTGGGGGCCGGGGCAAGCATCAGCACGACCTGCGCGGGAACCTCAAACTTCTTCGCCAGCTTTGACACAGTCCAGTGCGCCGGATCCTCGTTGCGCAGCTTGAACATCGCATGCTTCAGCTCGTCTGTCAGTGGCTTCCTTGTCGCCGGCTTGTACTCGCGCACGGGCGGAGGGAGGTCCGCCAGGCTGATCTCTGGCATCGTCTTGGGGACGCGCGACACGAAGATGCTGCCGTCGTCGAGCTTTTCTGTGTAGTGCACGTTGGTTCCCAGCGACTTTCTGGCCGCTGCTGAGCTCATTGCTGCTGTCTGTTGCAGGCACGCGCTGCTTGTCCGGAGAACACGGGTAAATAGGGAAAGGGTGTTGCTCATTGTCTCGATGCCAGGCAATATGCAAATTTTTGAGGCTGGAACCAATTATTAAAGAGTGGAAAAATAATAAAGTTACGATTGAGAAATTGAGAAATTGAAAAGGCCTGAGGGGGTTTTTTTAGCAGTGCGCATTTCCATTATCTTACTTGGGTGTGAAAAATGCACGCCTTTGATCCGCCTCGATTTACTCTAATTCACAGATCAAAAATTGCTAGCCAAAAAAAAAAGATGGTTAGCACGTGCAACTTTCGTTCGCTGAGATTTCAGCAGATTGTCACAAAAATTTACATCAGACAGCTGCAAAAAAAAATGGCGTGGGAGAAGAGCTTGATCAGTTTTTTTTATATTTAAAAATAACCTTTTGGTTGTTCGTGTCCTTCCAATCCTCAAGTTTGAAATTCTCAACACTGTAAAATGAAAAACATTGTTCTGCTGAACGGCTCATCGCACCCGCAGCTGGCCAAGAAGATTAGCGAGTGCCTCGGCGTGGAGCTGTCATCGTGCACGCTGGGCAAGTTTTCGAATCAGGAGACCAATGTCGAAATCAAGTCGTCGGTGCGTGAGAAGCATGTATATATCATCCAGAGCGGCTGTGGGCGCGTCAATGACAACGTAATTGAGCTGTTTATTCTCATTCAGGCGTGCCGCATGGGCAGCGCCAAGCGCATCACGGTGGTCACCCCGCTGTTCCCCTACTCGCGGCAGTCAGAGAAGTCGCAGAGGAAGCGCCTTCCACAGCACCAGATTGGCTCTGAGATTATGAACTCGCTGACGCAGCACAGCGAGTCCAGCCCATCATTGCCCCAGGGCTCGTTTGCCCAGAGCTTCATGGGCATGAGCATGGGCGAGAGCGGATACCGTCAGTGGTGCGCTCGCGCCGGCACTCTGGTCGCCAACCTGCTGCAGGCTGCGGGCGCCGACCACCTCATTGCAATGGACCTGCACGACCCGCAGTACCAGGGCTTTTTCCAGATCCCGGTCGACCTGATCTACGCCGAGCCGTGCATCATCCAGTGGATCCGCAGCGAAATCCCCAACTGGCGGCAGGCTGTGGTTGTGTCTCCGGACGCTGGCGGCGCAAAGCGCGCGACGTCGATCTGCAACAAGCTTAATCTGGACTTTGCGCTCATCCACAAGGAGGATTTGGCAAACACCAAGGAGAGCATGGGGCTTGTTGGCGAGGTGCAGGGCCGCCCGACCATCATCCTCGACGACATGATTGACAGCGGAAGCACCATCGGCCTGGCGTCGGAGATTCTCAAGCGCCATGGCGCAACTGAGATCTACGCAATTGCCGTGCATGGAGTATTCTCGGGTCCTGCTTTGGAGATTATCAACAGGTCTCCAGTGACGGCCGTCGCCTGCACAAACACTGTCCCGCAGGAGGAGTTCAGGAACAAGTGCCCCAAGCTCAAGACCATCGACATTGCACCGATGCTTGGCGAGATCATCAGACGCACGTTCTACGGCGAGTCTGTGAGCCAGCTTTTTGTCCACGATGAGCAGGCATAGTAGCTATATACTTTTATTTTTATCTAAATCACACGAGCTTTTTGTTTTTAAAATTTTCTATTGCGCCTACTCTGGCTTGATCTGCCGCCAGAGCCTGGCATCTGGGTTCCCGGCGAGCACAGCGGCGATGGCCGGGACAAAGGCCTTGTCCAGGGCCAGCCTCTCGCCCACAGACACGGGTGTGATCTGCTGCACGCATGGCTTGAGCGCTCCAGTGTCTTCGCTCGCTGTGAACGCAAAGCGGAAGCTAAAGACACCAAAGTTGCAGCCGTCGCTCGAATCAATGCTCAACATCATACGGATAATGTCGGCGATGATGTCCTCCATCTCCTGGCCAAACTGGCCAAATGTGCCCGGCCCGAGCTTCGTGTCGAGGTAGTGCGCAAATGCGGACTCTGAAATCTCCGATTCTTCAGCCTCGATTTGGTACGGCTCGGGCTTGTTGTCGCGCTGCTGGATGGGGGTCGCATAGAGCCAAGTGTTTTTCGCCCACACGTACAGGCCGTTGTCAGGAGTCAGCAGCACAATCTTTTCGGCCGCGTGGAGCTGGTCAGCAGAGATCGCCGACGGGGTGCACCTCAGGGCGGACGTGTAGCCGACGTCGACGTGGCGCACGGCCGTGGCCCAGTTGTTGGTGATGATCTTTTGCGAGCGCACGTTTGGAATGGCCTGGTCGTTGGTCAGCAGCCACCAGCTGTTGCCGTCCATCAGCGCCGCGCCGATAAACTCGCAGATCTGGCTCTTCAAGTGGTACCCAGGGCGCAGCCAGCTCTGCATGCCGATAATACCCTGGAAGGCTATGATTGTGTTTTCGGTCGAGAAGAAGACGCTGTTCAGCGGGTGCTGGTTGCTCTGCTTGCTGCTGTGGAGGACGTCATCAAAAACAACGTCAGCGTCATCCGCACTCTCCACCAGCACCAGGCCGGCTTCCTTGATGGCCTTCTCAGCGTCTGGCGAGGCGCCCTGCACAAACACATTCTTAATCTGGTGCTTGGGAACCGGGAGGCTGGCAAGGTTGGCTCTGACTGCGTTCTTAGCGGTCTCCACCAAGCTCTCGCGCATGCGCTCGAACGCGTCAAGCGCAAACTGCGTGGGCTCTGGGAAAATAGCCTGCAGGTATCCCTGGCGCTGGTTGGCATCCTTGAGCCACGGGGGGCAGTAGTCGCGCGTAAGGGCCTCGCCCTCCTGGATCGTCTTGATCGGCCACATGATGCTGAACGGTGTCATCTGGCCGTGCGGGTCAAGGTAAAGGAGTGGGAGGCAGCGGACGTTCGGGTCGCTGCTGTGGCTGATCGACAGACCGACCTCGTCCTGGATGTACCAGTTGGTGCGCTTGACAATCGACTGGTCTGCATTTTGAGCAAGAAAATCATATCCCTGGAAGTAATGCCATAGATCGCTGAACACGCGCAGCAGGTGCTTTCTGTGCACAAATGGGTTGATGTGCGTCTCGCCCACAAGGGCCTCGGGCCAGTACCCGGCGGCCTCCTTCACCAGAGACACGACAAGCATGCCGCCTTCAACGGTCCACGTAGCCTCATCGACAGAAGTAGCGGCGTGCAGGTCACCGCCAAGTAACTCGTTGCCACCAACGGCGACCTTGAGGTGGCGTGGCGCAAACGTGCATTTTATATCGCTGGCAGAGACAGAGGGGCCCACGGGAACTCGGATGTCAATGCCGTCAAGCTTGCCGCTGCTGGGATCGAGCATGTACTGCGAGCAGTTGTACTTGCGCGTTCTCCATTCAGTGGGCTTGCCTGCGCCTTCGTCGTCATCATCATCGTCGCCACCGCCAAGCTGTCTTTTGATCTGGTCCTGGATCGACTGCTGCCCACTGTTGGCTTCTCCAGGCTTTTCGTTTCCAGCAATGATGGCCTCAATAATGTCACCTCCGGTCTTTTTCAGCAGCTCCCGGGCCTTCTCTTCGCTGACGCCAGTCTGCGACACCACAACGGGTACGTTGACCTCCATCGCAGAGTCAAACGACTCCGTGTTGGGCATAGCGAGAACCTTCTCCTGGGGCTCAAACACGCCCGTCAGGGCCTCCATGCGATCCAACAAGCCGGGAACAGTCTCAAGCTCATTGATCGCTTGGTCGATGGTGGTCGTCCACGCGTGGTCGATCAAAAACACGTCGCTCAATGCGTCCAGGTTTCCCTGGCCCAGGACGAGCGTATGGTCGGTCAAACTACCGGTTCTGCCCTCGCTGGCCTCAGTATTGGTGCGCGCGTTGTCATCGCCAAAGATCACATGCTGGCCAATGTCGAATTTCTCGGCAGCAAGCTTATTGTACAGCACCTGCCACAGGTGCTTGGGCAGGCCCAGGGACTCGAGCTGCTGCTTGTGCGCGGCCTCGAACTGGCCGTACTGCAGCATAAATGTGCTGCTTGCCGCGTCGACTGAGGGAATGTTTGTGTTTCCACTGATTTCCATGGTTACAAACTGAATCGTTAGCGAGTATAAAGCGAGTTCTAAAAAATTGAATAAAAAAATGGAAGAAGGAAAGACAAGCAAATGGAAGCGTTCAAATTGTTGGGCAAAAAAAACCACACCTAATTTTTTTTTTTGTGTGGCACCCATTGACAGGATCAGGAGTGGGGGAGCAATAATAGCGCTGAAATGTGGTGTGATCCGATCGTAGTCCCCCCTCACCAAAAAAAAAAAAAGCCAGCCTTGGCATTTAAATGCAGTCCCTCTCATTCATCCCGACATGTCGCGCTTGCGACCGCGCTGACGCACGTCTTCCAACCGCCTCAAGATCGGCTCGGCCGCAGAGTCCTCAGCGCCATATGCCTCTAGCACCGACGCAAAGAGTCGCTCCGAGTTGGGGTGGGTGCTGATGAAGGCACGCTCAAGGACATACAGATCAACTGCCTTGTCCTCAGCACTGACAGAAATCTGGCTCAACCCAAAGTCAATAAGCACCATCTCGCCCTGGTCGTCAATGATAATATTAGAGGTCGTCAAGTCACCGTGGATAATGTTGTTGGAGTGCATCTTGAACAGAATCATTCCAACAACCGCCATCAACTGCCTCTCCTCTTGCTCATTGCTATTGTCGAATATCCACTCCTTGAGAGTCGGGCCTGTGACGTACTCCATGTACAGCGTCGCTGTATCCTTGTCCACGCGGATGACCTCGGGCACACGGATATTGTGCTCCAAGCACCGCTTGAGACTCCGTGCCTCCTGGTTGAGACGCCCGCGAGTCAGCTTGCGGTCCAAGTCAGGGTGGCGGTACTTTTTTGAAAAGCGCTGCTTGGCGATAACTGCTCTGCCGGATAGCTCGGTCTTGTACACCCGGGCCTCAGCGCCCTGGCGAATAAGCACCTGTTCTGCCATAGTTTCTAAATAAAGGAGACTATGTGTGAGAATATAATGAGGAGGTGAAAATGAAAATGAAAATGAAAATGAAG